TTCTACTGCTTATAGAGTTACAACATCATTTATTTGTTATTTCCCAATGTAATGTCTGTGGAAAGGCTTACGTCGGTCGCACTACTCGCTCTTTACGGGTTATATTATAGTTATACGGGCCGGTTATATTATATATTAGGACTGGAGAACATAGGGTCAAATATTATAAACTTTTAAATGGCGATAAATAAGTGATGAATATAGTTTTTGCTTACATTTATTGGATCGTGGTTATACTTATAGACAAAGGGAACATTTCTATCAGCCGAATACTCGGGAAATCGGAAGTGAGGGTTAAATGAGGAGCTGCACATTGCAGCAGTCTCGGGCGAAGTACGGTACACACTACTTTAAGTTTAACAGTCACTGGCCAAAATTAATCCTTCGGCTACCTGCAATTGGCTGGTTGCACGTGTGTAACAATGTGGCTGTTGGAATACTCCGAAGTAATGTCGTTAAATTTACTGGAGAATCAATGATGAGGTCTGAGGACATCGTGTGTATTGGGGTACAGGGCCGGTAGCATGCGTTAATTTAGGGTAGCATGCGTTAATTTACTGACTCTGACACTACAACATTGGAATCCTTTATCGATTACAAGCACAGCTCGTAATCAATAAATGTAGTGGTTGTCGGCTGAACAGATTGCCGATGCAACCGCTACAAATTAGCTTTATAAGAGTCTTCAGTCATATTGATTTCTTCAAATCAGAGCTGCATTTTACACCCTCCTGTCTGGTGGCAGTGCAACTGTTAGTTAAAGAGGTAATTTTTGGGGTACCTCCCTACAGGCAATTGTGAAATAAGATGGTAGCATGCCTTAGAGAGCGTATCTCCAATTTCAGGGGCGACCCTAGATGGATCAAAGATCGTGCATATCTAGGGATATCTGTGATCTAGCGCCCGGCTCTACATTAAATACAGAAATATTACCGATTTTACGAGAAAATCGTGGTGTTGCTTGCTTACCTATGTTCAATGTTATTATGCTATGTATGTTAGAATAGGAAATGATTGCGGTGCCAACAAAGAATGCGGCCCAATATTGCTTTAGTTCTCCAGTAGGATATACAACTTGTATGAACAAGGCCAAGGCATGGCCTCAAAATTCGTTGCATCGTGTATTTGAATTGTAATATGGCCTAAGCGGGATTATCGTCTTGACATGCTTTTCTCTGCATGAAGCCTAAATACTAAGTGTGGTAACACGTCGGTTAGTCAACGGGGACAAGCAGTACCGAAAATAAGCGACTCTTAGTTGAATTTCCCCCAATTTTTCTCAATGGCTGGGTGGCCTAGTGGTTAGAGCTTCCGCCTTCTGTACAGAAGGTTCAGGGTTAGAATCCCAGTTTTACTCAGTCTAGGGAGTAGCTAAGGATTCATTGGATCTATGTGATCTCCTCGGTCGAATTAGCCGAATGATAGGAAACTTGATTGAGGGTTAAATGAGGAGGGGTGCCTGTGCCAAAAGATCAAGAATCTTAGGATACTCCTTCAGAACATCTACAATGTAGTGTACTGTTAAACAAGGGCGGTCGAACTATTCGATGACCCTGTAGAGGAATCTACGAACTTTACAAATTATACAAATTATTATTATATTCTTCACCAAGAGAGATTATCAATTTGAAAGTCATGTTAATAAATTTAAATCACAAATTCATTATATCATAAATTCAAATCATACATCCAATAACTTTAAGAAAATCAAGTTAACAGTCTGCAGTCTCTCGTCATACTTAAGATCCACTTTGCTGCTCCTCGGCTAGGACGTTCTCTGCACAGTCTCTTCGTGAGTTTCACATATGTTATGTCCTGCCCCGCCTTCAGACAGTCCAGAAATTTCCAGATAGTAAGGTTTGAAAAGGATAACATTGAGTGCAGTAGAGGCCGTGGAGCAATCCTTCAGCTATGTTGAACTCCGGGGAAGCAGCATCTTGGTGGACTCCATTTGTAGTGAGCGAAGGTAGGATTGATGAGATCTCGATCCATGTGGACTCGTAGCTAGTAACTGTAGAACTCCGCTATGTCTGTAGAAATAGAGTTTTCTGCGCTGTATCCAGAAGTAGGGGCTTGTCTGGATTCTGGAAGGGTGTCTAGGAAGTTTCCAAGAGATGTCTTGAAGCTTGTCAAAGTCCTTTGAGTATTGACAATTTTGGGGAGAACATTCCAGAGTCTTCCATCTCTTACTGCGAATGAGTGGTCGTAGGTGGAGCGTGCAGCAGCTGATGCTTGTTTGGTGAGAGAAGGGAGTATAACTTTAACTCCCAGTCTGGCATTCTCTCTGAACTGTACATCTAGAACATTTGGACATATTCCCTGGAGAACTTTCCACAGATGTATGATGGTGTAGCGTTCTCGGCGTCTTTGCAGTGATGTAAGTTTCAGTTCCTTCAGTCTATTCCATTTAATCGGTGTCTCTGAGCTCTAGAATCCGTCTGGTGAACTAGCGTTGTATGCTTTCGATAGACTGGACATCATAGATCTTGTTTTGATTCCAAAGCGGGCAGCAGTACTCCACTCTGGACCTTATCAGGGATTTGTAGAGCTGGAGCATAACAAGTGTTGTCCTGTCTTAGAATACTCCAAGAGTGTTGTCAGTGTTGAGTCTGTTAGTCCTTGCTCTAGTTTGAGGGCTTCAAGGAATTTCCAGATGGTAGGATTTGAACACTGGACGAGGCTGCGGAAACCATTATGTCATCCTTCTGTAAGGTTCAAAGAGCGTGGGAGACCAGCTAGACAGCAATCGTACTGGTTCCAGGACAGGTGATCGAAGCGAGCAGGTCTGTTTGGTGTTCCCATCCACGTGGACTCAAAGTATAATGTTAAGACATCCATATCTGCGTAGTGAATGTCATCAGGAGGGATGAAAGGTAGAGCTCCGATCCGTTGGAAGGCTTTCCGGATGTCGGATCCAACCACCTGATACTCCGGAACAAGGTCGGAGCGAGCGAAGTTCCTCCATAGAGCCTGTTTGAAGTGGAAGTAGCAGCCACGTAGAGTAGTCCCGGGCCAGACAGCAGTGACACTGTTCCGTAGTCTAGCTTCATTATCACAAAGGGCGGTGTCTGGCTGGAAAGGTCCAAAGCGATCCAGTTCTTCTAGTAAGTTTGTGTAGTGTTCTTGCCGCTTTCCAGGGAGAAGACCAAACGCCAGAGGAAGTCTGTAATTGTCTGGGGTGATTCCATGTACTGTCAGGAGTTGGGTGAATAGATTGGGTGCCACCTTTTTTGTTTTGTGTTGCTGCGCTGAGAGGTACAGGTGTTGGTCGGCAGCTTTCTGCTTCAATTCTGCTCTGAACTCTGCTTTCTTAGCTAGAATTGTCTACTGCCGTAACGGCAAATTTTGTCCTTTGCACGTGACTCCTGAGAAAAATAATTATTATTAATAGACAAACATGAATCATAACACATAGATAGACTTATTACAATTACAACCTGTAAATCTTCTAGTGGTGAAATAATTAATTTTCAAAAGTATTAACTACACACCATGTTGCAGACTCTCGTGTGACACACACTTGACTTACTGACTTAATGAGCTGACATCAGACATGAGGTTTTATTAATTGTATCACGTCGTGACCCTCATTGCTATTTAATTTAGTGTATCGGGGCGAAAGCCACGATACATGTACAGCTAACAGCCGCACACTCGTGTGCGGCGGGCCAACAACGTTAATTTTAAATTACGTGAGGCAAACATAAGGTTAAGAGGTTTATCGCATCCTTATATATATTATTATTAATGTATATATATATATAATTATATATATAATTCGAACAATTGAAACAAATCAAATTGGCGGGCAAACGATCCGTTTCATGATACAGATATGTATAAAAAACAATACCAATCATCAGTGCCCCGAAGCTATCCATAATCTTAACCACAACCCTAACCCTAACCCGAGCCCTAAATAATCGAATTCACGTTTTACTAGCCTGTCACGTGACCAAAACGGTTTTTTGCCCATAACTCTCCAGGGAAGCATTTTAACCCTACGTCATGGGGGTGATTCGGAATCAGCGTCCAAAAATACACCGATCTAGATCACTTTCATGCCTAAAGGGCCTTTTCACAAGAATTTTCTTAAAATTTGGGCGAGCGATTTAGTAGGAGCGGTGCCAAATAGAATAATGAATTGTAGCGCTATTTTTATCGATCATGAAACATTTACAAAATTATCAAAATTTACAAAATTTCCAAAAAATCTTTAAAAAAAACACAGTTTATTGTGTCCGTCCAGACTCCAGACCAGAATCAACAATTAACACTTAAATTGAAATACAGATCCTAATTCTACCAGCATCACGGAACTCAGTAAAGAATTTTCCTCTACCACTACACTCGAAGGCCAACGCAGTTTACAACTTTAAAAGCCAAAGATATCTTACTACCTTACTTCATAGACAATTTTAAAATTTGGACGGACACAATAAACTGTGTTTTTTTGGAAGATTTTTTGGAAATTTTGAAAATGTTTCATAATTATGAAACTTTTTTTTTTTTTTTTTTTTAATCGATAAAAATTATTTTATAAAGGAGCAACATGTCATAGCGCTACAATTCATTATTCTATTTGGCACTGATGATTGGTATTGTTTTTTATACATATCATGAAACGGATCGTTTGCCCGCCAATTTGATTTGTATCAATTGTTCGAATCATAATGCTCCTGCTTAACTGCAGTCGAGCACTCTCTTTGGGAAACCAAACAGCAACTATTCATTAATTATATATATATATATATATTTCGTTGCTGTACTCCTACACATTAAAAGTCGGTATATATATATTAGTACCGAGTAATTCCTTCTATTTCCAAAATTAGTTGCCATGAAATAATTTGGAGAAATGGTTATTAATATTGGTCATAATTCGTAAAAAGTCAAGTTACTAGTAGGATCAATATTCAATATTTATTGAATATAATTGTATAACTTTTTATATATCTTTATCATTACAGTTACACAAAGGTATCATAACAATATTATTTCCAAGCCATACAATGTTCCAGTTCATTCTGCTTGGAGCTGTCCTGATAAGTGCAAGTTTTGCCGAATCGCCCACGACCAGTACAAGTTCCTCTTCCAGCTCGCCCCTAGCGAGAGAAAAAGTTGAAATAACCTTTTGTCGACACGAAAATAAGAAGATCGAAATCGGAGCAAAGGTCTACAAGGGATGCGAGGAATGCACATGCACGACCAAGCCCTATATCAGCTTCATGGGACCCGCGGATCAAGGTAAATATTATGTAGTTAATTTTATGTTAATGAATTATATATATATATATATGTATATAATTATATATATTAGCTCTGGGCGGGCCACCCTCTGTATAATTTGTCGGTCTTAGTTTCAACATATTCATTATCTTTTTTTTAAAAATTTGACAAGTTCTAATTTTCCTCAGGACAAGTGGTATGCAGCGAGGGTACTTTCTGTTGTCTGTTCATTGACAACGAAGGTAAAACTCAGCGAGCTTACACCGGTGACAAATACAGTGATGGTTGTAACACATGTACATGTAAAAAGGACATGAGTGTTGAAGATTGCACTCAGCAATGGTGTAAGAACATGTGTCCGTATTATACTGTGGATAATATCGTGAATCATACCAAACTGGGAAAAGTTATTGCGATTGACGACGCAGTCGGCAAAAAGAAATGTCCCAGAAAGTGCAAATGCACGCGATCAGGAAGAATTAAGTGCACAGGACGCTGCCTTAACGAGAGTCCCATGGCCATATTTGGTTAGGTTAATAATTTTAAGGCGGGCGAATTAGTAATAGCCCTGTGTTAAAGTTTAAACCAAGTTTGAGTTGATAGTAAAACAGAAACAATCTCTCTTATAATTATAAAGCATGAATAATTTTCTTAAATGTTAAAAAGAATGAACAATTTAAAAATGTCTTAAGAATAAGTAATACAGTCACAAATATGTTAACAACTTTTTTCAAGCATGGAATATGAAATGTATGGTAAAAATGTATTATTGATTTACTACAACCATATGATGCAGTTTTAAATTGACTTTATACACTAAAAATGAAACAGAAAGACTCTAAACGCTGTAAGAGTTACAACAAATTTACAAATACGTTTGGAAATTTCAGTGCCAGTTTGACAGGCATAGTCAGTCTTTGAAATTTGAATAAATGAGTACCTAATCGTTCACATATTACCTAATCAATATTTTAGCAATTTTTACTCCCTCCCCCCTCCGTAATCAACCGTAATCAAGACCCAACCCCACCCCCTCGTGTATGTGTGTGTGTGTGTGTGTGTGTGTGTGTGTGTGTGTGTGAACGCTCGAAGGCATCCAAAACCATTTAAAATCCAAAATTAAAACTAACAGTATTAATATCCTGGACAATAACTTCATAGTGGAATTATTTTGGGAAAACATTTGAACGGACTTTGACTTGGACGGACCCGTAAACGGACAGACTTTCTTCTAACGCTTGCGTCCAATTAATTTCCGTTCAAATTAAGTCCGGTAAGGTAGCACAAAATCTAAGCTTCAAATGATAGTCGAAGGATTGCTTTTCATTGTATTATTACCAATCTACACGTGAATCTACTTCTGTTTGTATCCTCAAATAAAACATTTCAGAGGGCTTCCACATTCCACGTTTTAGTTTCATCGGTCAACCCAATCTTCAGATATTTGGTAATACTAATAGTTTTGAACTTACGCGCATAGGAAATTTCATATCTTGAGCTTTGGCCCTACCCCTTCGGTCCTTCTACTACTCAAATAGTTTATTGTTCGCAATTAACTTGAACACAGTATTAATTTTGTCTGAAGATGCTAAACCTTCCAGCTGCGGCTTTTGCTGGCATGTGCTCTAAAATCAGTTATTTTTGAAAACCCCTGAACATACTGTCTATTATAATACAGGATAGTGGATCATGATACAGATGTTTTGGAACTGTAAGTTGTTGAATTTCTCAGGAGAAGGATAAGCAGGTTACTTGTTCTCTTACACTCACTCTCCGAGTGAAGTTGTTGAAGCGTTTTGCGCAAGTCATTGTCTGTCACCCCTTCGTTACTGGAATACAGTGATTTATAAGTAAATTGACAGTATATCAGCAAAAAGGCAATAGTAAATACTACATTGCAACTATTGTCTGATCATTCAAATTGTCGGTGTCCATCTCTCGTTCTCTGATTATTTTCATCGGTGGTTCAAAAGACAGTAAACTAAAATATATGTTTTAGACTAACTGCAAATAGTAGAGAAGAGTAAGAGTGGAGATAAGAGTCTCGTTATCACGTGACTGCAGTAGCGGTAAGATAAGGTCCAGCTTCTCAGAGATGTGGTCTCTGTGTTGTGCGTTAACTGCGAGGTTAACCAGTCCCATCACACCCATCCTGGAATATACGTCGCTACAATTTACAGTTTACAGTTTAAAATCTCCTTCAATAAAAAATCTATCCGTTTTATTTTTGTCGTTTCTTTTATTTATGTTCTAGCGTTATTATTAAATATTAAATCAAAGTTCTAAACAAGGGATAGTTTAAAAAACAACGCCCAAGTCTAATCTTTCCCTAAAACAAAAACAAAAAATTAAAAACTTCATTGCAATTTCCGCCAATATCTCTTGTCATAACTCAAATTACGGAGATAATGCAGGTCAAAGATATAATTCAAATAAAGATTTCTTTTACATAAATCATGCACAATCAGCGAGAATAGATTGCTTTGGGGTATGCTGCCTAGCAGACGTGTTAAGCTAATAAAAATTAACATTAATCACACGTAATTAAGACAGTGTAATTATTAAACGTGCCACACAAAACCAGATGAATTATTTACCTACGTAAAATAAGGTCTTCATCATCCGTCAGGTCCAAGAAAAGGTCTACAACATTTAGTTTCTGCAGGTGTTCATGGTTTACTGGGTTGTAGGCGAAGTTAGCTAGATTCGCAACGATTTCCTGCTTAGCATGTGCAACCTCACTGTCACAATACTCTGTCAAAAGGGCCTGAGATGATAGGGTCACATTCTTCATTTTCTTAACATATAATCTTATAGTACAATATTTACTACACCATGATGAAATAAGAGGAAGTGAAAAAAGATAGCACCGTATTAAACTGGAATTAAACAGGAATTAAACCGAATTACAAGAATTAAACCGAATTACACCGTATGTAACATCCTTTGCTGTTTACTTTTAGTGCCGGCGTTTAAAATTTACACGTTTAAAATTTCATGAAATGCATCCTTTTCCAAAATGAAATATTATTGCACTCAATTAAATGAATACTTAGGCTGGGCTTAGGATAACTACTTCTCCGTTAGCATATCCGACGATCGCCGCTTCCTATTGTTGCAAGCTGTACAAATTTATTTGTCACCAAATTTGTTTCGGATTGAGATAATCGAACGACCCCCCTCTCTGATGTAAACAAAGCAGGCTGACTGGTTTGCTTACCTGAAGGTACTCAAATCGATCAGGACGGTAAACTTGCTCCTTTCGTCTTCGCTTCATAACACTAACAAATGTCGAGAGTTTAATATGTTATAAAGAACACATTTGGCAATGTGAATATATCTAGAAAAGATATCGGCAGAAATTAGAGAATGTAATTTTGAGTAAATACACTGCATCGTTTGACTTAAAACAAAAAGGTCTTCGCAAAAAAATCACAATGATAAACCAGCTAAGAATTGACAACTTAAACATAAAAATCAAGTAACTTCGTAATTTTCCGATCAAAGATATATGAACTAGATTAAGCCAATTAATGGTAAAAATAGCGGTTTTGACACAATTACAAATTAAAAAGTCGATAGTAATTTTCTGACACACTATGTACATTATTAATCATATGGTTAAGACAACTAGAAATAATCTATAAGGATGCTAGTCAACAACCCAATCAAAATTAACAAATTCGTCATCACATCCTATCGATTTGAAGTTAGTTCTCTCGGAAAAGTGGCAATTATTCATCTTATCAACAATAAACACTGTACTCGATACACTTCCAGATTCGATGTTGCCGTTTAGCACTGGGTAGCCCTCGTTGAAAACATGTCTGAACGATCCAGTGAGACCTCCTTCCACAGGGATCTCTGTTTTATCACTCAACATTAAAAATAGTTGGTCAACCAAATACTTGTCACGTGACGGTAAGTCAGGAAACTGCTGCTGAGAGAATGTCTCCAAAAGAGAAGAGAAGATCTCCCTACCAAACTGAGCTCTACTGTTGAAGTGGTCAGGAGGCAGATTTCCAAAACAATGTTCTCCGGGAGGTAGGGTTGTTAAGATGTTCTGGAAGAAATCATAAACGTAAAGACAGGGAGTTGAGCTTTTAAATTCGCCCATAAATAAATTAAAGTAATTATATTTGCCTTCTTTAATTGTCTCGACATATTTCTCTGCAGAATCTTCAGATTTAAGAAACCCCGGAACTAGCCCTCCTCTTGGAGACCTATCTGAACTGAACAGTATCCCTTTACCCTTGTTATGAACGTTAAGTAGCGCTGACACTTTGCCAGACTTGGATACACCCAGCCAGGTCCCATCTGCAACACCACCTGGAGACGCATCCTTCCCTCCGTAGCAGTGCTGATCAGTCCAAAAGTGCGCTGGAAGTGTAGGTCGAGTCTTCACTTCATCTCGGTTAAAAGCTATTATCAGTTTAATCTCATGAATAGGAGAGGAGTTGATGAATAGTATACACATCTTTGAGACTGAATGGGTCGATGTATTCTTCAGAAAAGGTTGCCAAGTTTCACATGTCTTCAGTTCATTTCCTAGCAATGGGTACAATTTAGAGGAATTAAGTTGTGATATCAAAAGCTAGAAAGTAAAAGATAACAGCTTTATTTTTTGTCGCTGTCGCAACGTAAGCTACTTTCGTGACTCTTGAGTGAAATTCACAATCAAGGAAATATTTTGATGAGAAATAATTTAAAATCTCAAACGCCGACTCAGAAAATTTTACCGTATCACTGACAATAAATTACAAAATTATAAAGAAAAACCTGCAGACCACGTCTGTCAAAATAAGATTGAAAATAAGCTGGTATTGGTAATCAGATGAGTTATAATTTAAAATAAGCTCATAAAGAGACCTTATCTTGATATCGCTAATATGCAATTTAAAAAGAACTTTCGATGATGTTGAGTTAGTTATCAACCGCCCGACGTTAAATTCAAATAAAAATGTTCAAAGCAAGTCAAAACTTAACGCGTTTAAATACTTAAAATAACTCCCACCTATTACCTAATTAGACTATTTGATGGCAGACTTTGTCTTTTTCTTCTGAGCTAACATCTTGTGGATTAATTCAGCTGACTTGTTTCTCTTTTCTGCAATTTTCTTCTTCCTTTTGGCGCTATTACCTCCTCCACCGCAAGTCATCTCAACGTTTAATTTCCGGTCTTGGAATGACGTGTGATGGTAGAGCAGTGCGTTCTAGGAGTATAATGTTAGGATACTGTAACCTTTAAATGTTACTAGGATACTGTCAAACTGTAACCTTTAATTTGTCAAAGGTCGACATTTGTGCGTGAAAAATCTGTAATGAGTTCTATAAAGTTGACATGATATGGAGATTATTATATGAAAGAAATAGTCTTTTTAATGCATGAATTCAGCCGCATATATGCGAAGCAATAATGCATAAATCAAGGCCGGTAGAGTAATTTTACTAACCAACATAGCAGCTGAAGACTTGAATTCAACAAATGCACATCCCCTAGGCTGTTTCTGTGCGTTCATCAACAACCTTACACCTTCAAGTTCACCTGAATATTCATTTTCTATATTAAAAGGCAGTAAAACATTAAATATACTGGTGATAAGGTATTATATAATAACTATTAACTAGACACTTGCAAAATATGTAAAATATATATCATAATCTACTATAGTATGCAAAAACAGCTGAAAACTAAAATACAACAACTATATATGCCACGTGCGTGTCTTTAATGTTACAGTACCTAAACTTTTAGTAATTATAAAGTTCACAACTCTGGCCGTACTATGTTATAGTTACTATAATTTTAGTATAGAATTACGTTAAATGAGAATTACGTGGGGTTCTTGACATGAATAACGTATTTATGTACATCTAAATACTGATGTGCAGCCGGTTTATGGCTACTTTGGAATTACTCCGTTCCTATAGAAGACGTTTTTGGGGATAACATTTTATTTTAACAAATCTCGACCATTGATCGTTGCCTATCTTAAAGCTTGTTTACTTACTTACGTTATTCTCATATGTAATTAATGACCGACATATATAATATATGTACATTATACAATACAAGCAACAATTATATTCACCTGGGCTGTGCATCATAAAAAGGGTGTGGAGACCCTGACTTCACGAATATAGAAATTTGTACATCGCCTAATCACAGTTTAGTAACAGTATAGCAGTAATAGTTTAGTAACAGTATAGTTTAGTGGACATATTGTGTGGTGTGGTAACACTGCAACAGTTTTAAGACATTATTTCGCAAGGAATTTAAGAATCGTTTACATAAGTGAAGGGGTTTGGAACTGCTTAAGTTAGTGTAATGTTTACGCAATATATATGCAAGTGTAAAATGGCCAAAATCTGGCTAACGTAAAATCGGACTATATTAGCTTGAGGATAATCGTTTTATAATCGGTAAGTGTCACAAATTAACCTGTTAAAAAAGCATGATTATCTAAAGTTACTATTTCATTAGTTTTTTGGTAGTTTAAGGACAGACGTTTTTAAATGGTTGTTTTCGCAAATATACCTGTTTTTTAAAGCTTTAGTTAGTCATTATGCGATTAGTTTTTAGTTGTTTGTAGCTTGATAATGTTTTATCTAATCGGTTATACTCGCAAATATACCTGCTTTTTTAAAGTGGTCAGAAAGGGCTTCTTTTGTTACCGTGTACGGCAGATTTCCTGTGAAACATTGATTTAATAAAGTAGGTTGAACAATTATTATCAGCTAATCCAGATGAGTTCATACACTTCATACACAATCCTTCCAAATATTGCACATTACAACGCACAGTGATTTCATTGAATCTTTGGGTTAATCAACTTCTCCTAGGGTGGAGGAGAGAGACCATACAATAATTAATAAATTGTTAAACCGCAAAAAAGCAGCAGATTTCGGATGAACATACCCACAAATAAGATAAAACGAGGCTTTTTCCCTGTCTTATTGGATTTCTCGGGGATGTCTGTGGCTTCATTAGAGTTTTCAGTCGCCTTCTCTGCATCTGGCTTTTTGGCAATTTCTTCTTTTTTGCATGAATTGTCCTTTTTTGTCTTTCTTTCTGCTGAGAATGTACAATAAATGCAATTTTATATGAATGAAACGATTCTTAGAAGTCAAATAGTTAGGTTTTGCTGCCTTAACAGCTCCCGAAACTCGCCATATTAGCGGAAAATAGAATAATAAAATACATTCGTTCGAACCTTTTATGGAACCAGAACTGTCTTTCTGTTTTATATTTGATTCTTCTTGAAATATCTTGTTAAATTTTCGTTGAAATCCATTTGTTGGCTTCTGAAGTTTAGAAGAATGTTTCTTTGCCATGACTATCCTAAAAAGATTAATTGATTTATAAAACTTGAACTTTTAATGGAATGTGCAATTGTTTTACTGTTTATACAATTGTATTTAGTGTTCACAACTACACACATTTTAAACTGATAAAATGATTGGTTGCAATTTGGACGGTAATAATGCGTAAGTGGTCAAACTTACTTAATTGCTGTCTTTAGTAAGTCAAAAGAATTACTTTTCAGCAGTTCAACATTTAATCTCGTCATATCGTTTATTTTACTCTCAAAATAATTACCAATAAGATACGTCAGTGACAGGTGTAGTCTTAATATACCTAATATGGAATAATTAAATAAGGTAACTGCAGTTAAATAGTGGTGTAAGATAACTACAGCTAAAACTTAGAGTGAGTGCTCATAAACTTGGTGGCGCCCTTCTATTGGGTTAGTCGTTTGGCATAAAATAAAAATAAAGAAAGCGAGCGAGCACTGTTTTATCTAAGATTTACTTCATTCGCTTTAAAACGAAATAGACAAAATCGTGCTAGGATAGCGTTTTGAAAATCAACTGACCGTAGTTTATGCTAAATCGCACTTTTTAATTGCTTTATAATAGGGTCGATAATTTGATATGATATATTACATTTTTCTTGAAAATATGGAATTACATTGCATAAGAGCCCACGTGTCATTCCTCTTAAATGAATTGTCTACTTAAAGTCATATCTAAGTGTTGATCGCAGTTCTGCACAGTTTGGCACCGAGTTCGTATTCACTGTCGGTTATTTTCCGTGCGAAGGTCTTGCCGAGTAGATCTTTGAAAAGTGTGATAACAAGTGTTTTATTGTTGTGGAATGTAGACCATCAGTAGTTTACGTTTTGCTGCAGACAGTTGTCAACAAAGTCATAAGTCATTTTTAATAAATTCATATAGTAGTTTGTTTGGAGTAGAAAGTAGCGTGAGCTGCTACTTTCGCTACTTTCGCTACTTTCGCTACTTTCTGAAATATTGTTGCAGGTCTATTTGTGGTATTTTTGTAAGTGATATGTACAAATATTGAAAAATTGTGAAACTATTTTGATTTACGACATTCTGGACCACTTAATTATCCATAATAAAATATCGAACAGGATGCCACATACTGCAACACGACCTTTGGAAACTCCTTCCGAGGGAAAAACAACAACTAGCGCCACTTACAGTTTTTATTACACAGTTACACCAGGATTGGAAAATGCTGGTGAACCAGAATTCAACGATATCACGGATAAAATCATAGGGTTTATTTTAACCATTTTCTTCGTTATTGGAACACTCGGAAATATAGGAAGTTTCGTTTATTTTCGCTCAAAGAAAAGATATGTATCAAGCACTACGTACATGTTGATCACCGTGAACGATATCATTGTCAGTGTCACGGTTCTGCCTGTTGGGATATCTTTTCTATCAGCTCGAGAACCAGGACTGTTCTTTGGAAACGAAATCAGCTGTACTGTTTGGTGGTACTTGTGGCACAATGCTGTGAGAATGAGCATATTCCTGGTGATTTGTCTCTGCATTTCCAGGACATTGGCTTTAATAAAACCTTTCTACCCCCAGAAAATCCGTTTCCTCATTTTAGCAGTGGTGACATATTTTTTGCTACAGATAATCGAATTCATAGGATTTTACTTGGTAGTAGGGGTAAAGGTACACCAAATAAAGAACCAAGAAAACAAAAGGTTGGAGATATTATTTCATCCGATCAGCGCTCGCCCACAAATGTTTGTACCATTCTCAAGTTCAAATACCACCACATTCCGGCTCTTCATTTTCATGAGAAACACGACCTTCTCAGCTCCAGCGTTCTTCGTTGCCGGGAGTTGTATCATATCTGCAGTATTGCTAAGAGAGAGTAACAAGCAGGTGCGACAGATGGAGATCAGAAAGTCCAGAAAAAGAGCAACAATAACAATTCTGCTGTTTGCTCTGGTGTACGGAGTTTGCAATGTTCCTATGGTTGTTGAGTACATATTACAAACGAACGCGGCTAGCCGACAGGACGGTTGGGATTGGTTCAAAGATGTGTTTTCTTTCGACACACTGTGGAACTATTCTAACACTACTCATATCGTTCTGATAGCTGCAAACTCAGCTGCGAACCCAGTTCTGTACTACTGGAGAATGCCACAGCTGCGAGAGCTTATCTTAGCGGAGATAAAATGGAACAAACAAACAAATAACCTTCAAAGGGTACGTAACAGTGCGGTCCTGCTTTTTCAACCTCATTCACTTCACAGAGTAATTTATCGTTGTCAGGATAGTTACAATACGTTAATTTCAACCAGACGCTCAGCTCGAGTTTCGCTAGAAACTAGCGTTTAGTAAGAAAGATGAGCGGACAAAATAAATTTGTATTATATGTTTATGATAACCGGGGTTTTCCTCATAATGTTAACCGACAACCGTTAATATTACTTATGCCAGAAGTCAGTTAATGGTTACTGATTGCCCTGGACGTTTGATGACGTTTGAAGTAATTTTTTTTATTGAAATCTTTCAATTATTATCATCAGAATTTATTACAATATCAATGTTGTATAGAATTTCTAAAAATGGACTAGAGAAACCAAAAAATGCCTTGACAAGTGTACAGCGATGATAACAATCAGGGGACACCAATACACCCAAATAACCAAACAAAAGGCCTCGAGAGACCTGATGAAAAGTCGAGCAATTACATTGGGCCCCAAGATAATGATAAACTGCTGTTTCACTTAACGACAAAACTTCAGCAACGGGAAGAATTTTATGGAGGGACAGATTTTTAATGATTTGTGTAATAAAAATTTGATCTGAGAGTACAGGCCTCGTTATAAATAGAGAAATCGTCCAAAGATGACTTCAACGTGTCCATTTATGGACACATTCTAGAACTGTCATTTTATTGAGTGGAAAATGTTAATGATGTTGACTGTGTATTTTTTATTTGTACGTCATGTATTACTATCCAAATTACTGGTGTATGCTTTTAAATACCGTTCATGATTCATCTTAAAAGTAATAGGTGATCCCATAAATTCAAAATAGGTTACGGTATGTTGAACAGTACTGTCCAAATCTGTACGAATATAGAAACACGCGCATAGGTAGAGATCTAGTTCACACTGGACACCGTATCCTGATTGTACTAGATTTTAAAGAACAGTTTTAGTTTTGGATAAATCAAACAGTAGGTTGGTAATATATCGAATTCAATTTATTGACAATGCCGAAACGACTAACATGCTACATTAGGCGGAAAACAGAAACCTATCTAAACTGGCAGCTCCAAAAACGAAACTAATATCACGAAATTGCGTGGTATTTAATGTATTTTAGCACTTCATCAATCTTGCCATGGAAGTAGAATGGTCGATTCCCATTTTCTGTTTCATCATACGGCGCTTGTTCTGAAACCAGTACATGACAGTTTTTACTGGAAGCCCAGTTTGCTCCGCCAAAACTTTTCGTCCTTCCTTGCTGAGGTAGGAATACTTTTGATACCAACTCTCCAAAACGGAGATGTTTTCTCCACCGATCTCGTGTCGGAGTCGGGGCCTCTTGGCCCGCAATCTTTCCCGCGATTCTTCTATAACCTCACGAGTCAGTATGATCCTACCATCTAGGGTTCTCTCCAGAGAAGAAGGATGAGGTCGTTTTCTAGAGGTCGTCTGTTTGAGCGAATCTACTTGATCGTGGCTAGGTAATCCTGATTGTACAGATGTGGGTGGTGATAGAGGTGCGATGATAATAGTTTTACTGCGGGCAGGTTGGGGTTTTAAAGGGATCTTGATAGGTCGTTGAGCTCGAATTGGTTCAGGTTTTACAGGAGTAATAATCTGCCGAGGTTTGGTATCCAAGAGACGTCTGGAAGACTTAGGAGTAGTGTTGTTAGGGATGGACTGTAAAGAGAGTGAAGGCGGAGTAGGAATCTCAGAACAATGTAAATGGTGAACAAGGGGAGATGTGAAACTGAGACTAGTCAAATCTTCATTGGGCGAGGGAATTGAGATTATAGGCTTCAAGGATCTGTCCGAATGAGGAATAGCTTTTCCCTGTAGAAATAATGAAGATTCTCTCAGTTGGAAACTTAGAAGTCGTTCCACAAACAAAGGATCAACAAGGGGTGGGTCACAAGGTTCAAGATGCATTTCGAGATTGGTCAATCGAAATAATGATACTATTCGTAAAAGATATTGGTAACACTGGTGTAGTTATTGAAAGAGAAATTGGTATTTAAACAAAAAGGTGGCATCTTGTTAGACTTAGTTAAATTGCAATTATTAGGTTGATCTAGGGAGGTCTCCCCAGCCCTCCCCAGCCCTCCTCAGCCCACTAATAATTACATGACAACATGTGACCTGATTGGCAGTCAGTACTCGGCTTGAGAATCACGTGATCATATGAACCGTCTGGAATCATGTGATTAGAATCAGCGTCGTCATCTTCATAGAAAATAGGAGTAGGTGAGACGATCCCAAAATACAGTCACATGATATCTCTTACGAAATCCTTATCATGCACATTATATGACTAGATCAGAACAGAGGACTAGTTTCTTATCCGAATAAAAAGAATAGACAAACAGTCAGCCGTAGACAACTAATGCGATCCTGTGAGTTGTGACAAATGTGAACAAAGAGTTACCAGGATGTATTGACTTCTAGATTGTAGATTGTAGAATATACTACAAATTTCTTAATGCTTAAAAAAATTCAACTCTGTGGCGTATTTAATGAGTAAGAATCAAGAAAGTTCGTTGAAGAATTGTTGGACAAAATAATCGAAATGAAAATCATACTTAACCACAGTCCACACTACCAATATCAACACTCAACAGTAACACCCGAATATGCAACACCCGAGATAATTTCATTTGAAAGCTGCGTAATATGTCTAGTACGATTGGTTTATTGTAGAAGGGACCATCTAAAAACATGCTATAGTCTATAATTTATAAATTCGTTTATAAACGAATTTCGAGCGAAACCGCTAAATTAATTGAATAGCTGACGATATAAAATATAATTAATATACAGGGTGGCCCAGAAGTAACTGCCCACACGCAACCCTTTAATAACTAACGTAAATCTTCTTAGAATTGCACAGAAATTTCAAAAATTATAAATACGGTATGGGTCAAACTTAGATTTCCTGAAAGTTTCGTCAAAGTTAATTAATTTAATATAATATATGTGCGCGTGACTAGGCTGCATACTGGTCACAAAATCTGTTCCGCGCGTTCAGACTCCAGTACAGCAAAATTTTGGAGTGTCCCTACCATCAGACTGGAACAGTGGGTGAACAGTGAAGCCGATCATTGATTTTTGTGGGAAAATGGATAACCACGTTTATATTTCCCGGCAAGAAAATAACAAAAACATAAGGAAAATACGATCTGAAACAGGAACATAAGACGCATCAGACATTTTGCTTATGGTCTACCATAGTCAGTCGTGCGGCCTCATAAAAATAACCATAGAATTGGAAAAAGAGCAAGCAAATATTGCGAAGGATTTAATTCAATAGATGATCAGCAAACAATTTTAACAAAACTTCGCCAGATTTTGCGACCAACAAGGCGGTGAATATTTTTATGAAGGAGCACGTGGCAACATAGCAACGAAAAAAAACGGGTATTTTCCCTGTAATTGAGCACGTGGAGCTCAGTTTTTCAAATTTTAAATCTCTTTTGTTGTACAATTAACTACACAACGTTAAAGTTTGACGGACACTTCTCGGTTCATCTTCCGACCAGTCATGAAAATCATGATTCTAATTGCACTTTTGTGCATTGCTCCAACAACACTGTACCTACTAAACGAATATGACGTCATCAAACAGTCAGAGCCAGAGGGTAAGCACAAAATCATCCATTTTACAAATCTTCCAATTTCATACGGTTCTTTTATTTCCCATCCCTTCTTCGGAACAAAGAGTTGAATTAACAAATTCCTTTTCGTTTCAGAATTTACAAGAATGCTACACCACGACTACATTGAGCTGTTGAACAAGGTTTGCAGGGTTCCATTTGGTACAAATCGAGGAAGTCTGCAAAGTGATAAATGCTTCTTAGAACTGTTTCATCTTCACGAAAAAGTAGGATTAAAATCAGCAGAGCTTTACGAGGAGATCAATCGATATAGCAGTGAGTGTTTACAAAATTTCAATTTTAAGAATTTTCCGAATTATTTTTTGTCATTAATTTAGACTTGTTTACGAAAGTATAGATTTCAGATTAGTTCAATGACAGATCATGAACATATCAGTACAATGATAATTTTCAGACATGATGGTTGAGATAGAAGGAGAAGATCCGGTGACAGGACACTCCTATTATTCAAAGGAGATGATAAGCTACAAAATGTCATATTCCTATCGGAACTTCCTAGAACCAATACTCCTCAAGGCAAATGACATGGTAGCACAAAATGCTAAACATGTTGCTGCAAAAATCTTTGCGATCGGCATAGTCATCTCAATCGTTTTCCTTGTCTTATCCAGGTGAGATTTCAACGTTTTAATTAATTTCATATTTTACGTAGGTATTCGGGACAATCGATATCTTAATGGTAAATTCGCTAAAATTGAATCGTACATTTCTTCTAACAATCATTTCTTCAGATTAACGAAACCTGACAGCTATGCCCTACCAAAGCCAAACTTTTACGATACCTCAAAAACGCAAAGAAAATCTTTCTTGTTCGGGAAGCTCCAGAAATACTTCTACGGACTAGATATCAAGGAACTGCCATTGCCCGGTGCTTATAACAAGGGGCCCAAGTATTGCCCATGAAAATGCGGTCACAATGAAGGAGCTACAGATTGAAGAACGATCTCTACTACTGTATTCCAGATAATAAATGATGAGACGATATTGACATAGTGGACAATTATGTACTGGGTTTCGTTGGGAATTGTAGCCAATGGAAAATGAAATGATTATTTTCGATTTTGAAAATATCAATAATTGAAATGATAATGCTGTCATCGAGTTTTATACAGCTTTACATTTTGAACAGTCAATTATTGAGCTTTGGATGTTATTGAAATTAAGTTTTTAGTTTTGAATTTTGAAGAGTCTATAATTGGAGTTTAGATGCAATCAAGTTTGATCAGTTTTAAGTTGCATCGATAATTAGAATTTTGATAATTTGAAATTTGACATTTTGAAAATTTTTAATTTAAATGGTTGGGTTGAATTTATGTTCTTATACCATCTTATACTATATTATTATCCCAAAAAACCACAAATCTCAAAAAAAGTTTTAAAAGAACCCTAAATCCAAAAAAATTGTTTTATTTTGAAATAAACAGGACAAAATCGGCCCCACGAGCCACGACTCACGAGTATTTATAGTGATACATTCCAGACCCTGAGGAAACTGGACCCAGTATCTGGTTAACGTTTATGCTTTACTTGTGAGCGGTCCAAAACTGAAGATCACCTCGTTATTTGCTTGAAAACCCCACACGAGTAATGAACATTGTGTTATTTGTGCCCACTGCCAGAAACCATAGCAGACTAGCAGATAATCTGCAAGGAAATTATCGATTTCTGAGGAAATTTCTGGTGCCAAAGAGGAAATTTATAAAGTCTACTATCTGAATTTTGAAACATTTTACCATACATTTTCTGGGGTAAAGAGGGAATTTTCTAACACCCATCCAAAATTGTTGACAAATCCACAGCCTTCCAAATGTAGGTACAGACCGAACAAGTATTTTCTGCTCATAATGATCATGGGGTAGCATGAAACATGAACTTGAAGTAGTTTCCAGAAAAACTTTGAAAATAATATCGATTTAGAAAATTTTCTAAAAAAATTAGGCGTTCAGGATTTTCAGAGAAAACAATATAGGTGTTTTAATATTGAATGGGCGTGGTCTAAAATATTCGAATTTTCAAATTTTGACGACGGAATCCTCGAACCAGTAAGTACAGTATGCCATCTGCAAAGCAACAGCTCTCAAATACCGAACCAGTAAGTACAGTATGCCATCTGCAAAGCAACAGCTCTCAAATATAAAACTCAGCGGAGGTATAAGACCAAACGTTTGCACACTGACTTTTGGCCCACCCTGTATATAAACATAACTTTTACAATAATTCTTACGTAATAATTATAATGATTTTCTATTGTCACTAGAAGCCGCACAGACCTTCTATCTACACACAAACCAACTAGCAATTGTCATTTCTCTAATCCTATGAACCAGTGTATCCCTAATTCATAATTCGTGTAACAACGAGTAAGTTACAGCTTGAATCGCTGGTGTTTTTTGTTTGACTTTGATAGCAATAATATATTCGAGATTATGTTATACTATCAAATAACGGAGTAGTTCGCTGTTTATTAGTCTCATGATTGAAATACTGATATCTGGATATTATCCGGTTGGAAGAGACAAGGACAAGTGAAACAAGGAACTTCCTACCCATTACATTTATTTTGGTAGTTAAAACGGTGCAAAAGTATGAAATCACTCAGTCAAAGCATACTTCAATTCAATTCTGAGTGCTCCTCACGTATCTACTAGTAATACTTGATACAGCATATCTGTTGAGTATGAGACAGAGAGAGTGAGAGAGAGAGAGAGAGAGAGAGAGAGAGAGAGAGATATATATATATATATATATATAGAGAGAGAGAGAGAGAGAGAGAGAGAGAGAGAGATATATATATATATATATATATATATAGAGAGAGAGAGAGAGAGAGAGAGAGAGAGAGAGAGAGAGAGAGATAGAGATAGAGAGAGAGAGAGAGAGATATATATATATATATATATAGAGAGAGAGAGAGAGAGAGAGAGAGAGAGAGAGAGAGAGAGAGAGAGAGAGAGAGAGATAGAGAGAGAGAGAGAACAATTTGTGTCGATCGTAGGCATCATGAAGAAGAGTCTGTTTAGATCTTATTACTATTCCTTGGCTAACACACTAAAGATTATTAATATAGATGCTATATTAATAATCTTTAGAGTGTTAGCACTAATAATTATTACTATACTAACAATCTAGTTAATCGTTTTTGAAACTGTCTTTGAAAATGATCTCTATTGCCAAATTACTTTTAGACCTTCTGTGTGGGAAAATCATCAAGAATTTTTGGCAGCGGAAAACCGCAAACATATCTTCAATTCCTTTCTGTGCGAAAGTTTAAGTTGTATGCACTCTACATTTCTCAGGATATGGTTGCCTCTACTCTGCAAGGCACATATAATAATTTGTGATAACTAAGACAGATGGTGCAAGCTGGCCATGTTTTACTTGTGGGTCATTTTGTAACTGGGTTGTAGGAGAAAGCCATTTTGTAACATACTATTTTGAAGGTTTTAATGTGCCCATTAAACATTTTCTGGGGCCTAGCTCCAAATGCTTAAGAACTGTCCTGCTTCACTCGCCGACATTGCGAAAGTGGAAAATTCGCGAGCGAAGCGAGCGAGCCAAAAAAAGCAGAAAATTTGTATCTGCGAGGAAATTTTTAACTTTCTGGATGTGGGTATTTGTGAGTGTCATAAGCTGATTGTGTAAGCGGTCTAGATTTATTTATTAATCATTGGAGATTATCCTAAATAAGTTGCAGTGTTAAACTAGCCTAATGGAGAGCAATATGGCGTAACAGTGGGGAGGTGGTGGCGTGTTAGAAGCTAAGAAATGGAAACAACATAATATGTTGGGGTAGGATGAGAGCTGAGGGTAATTACAGCAACCGATGAAATTGTAACTGGATCACTGTAATCGCTAAAAGGAAAATGTGCTGACTAGACGATATAATAGGAGGAAACACAATTAAAAACTTTTTCATGTGCAGCGAATTTGGAGACAAAAACGCCGCATTAGTAGTCTGAACAATTCGCCAAATTTGCAGCATTCAAAAAATTAATTTACAATGTATCTTACGTTATGTCTTGTGCTGATTTTGCTGACAATTCAGGATGTATAAACAAGTGTATATTCAATATGATAACTTTGTAACTTTACAACAAGATTTCCAACATATATGTAAAGACGACTAACGCGACTAAAGTGACTCGATTTCAATCTGATCAGAGATTGTGCTATTGTGATCCAGCTTGACAAGTTATTCGTTTGCTAAGAATCACCCTCTTTTGTTTTGTTTAATCAGATATCGATAGTTTTAAAAGTCAATGCATTATCAACTTGCCTTCTGATAATAATGATTAAAAATTTTCTGAGAATATTTTTAGGGAAGAAAAATCATTCTAGACACAATATTATGTTTTTCCTGATTTTAAAAAGTAATTATACTTTCCAATGTTTCTAATTTTACCTCATGTCAAATGTTTGACCCTAACCATAGTAATGCCGATGAAATTGTGTCTGGATCACAGTAATCGCTAAAAGGGAGATGTGCTGACGATATAACAGGAGGAAACACAATTAGTTTGGAAAGGCAGGGACCGGTGAGAGACAGAAAGGGGTTTGTAGTGAATTTAGTTCGATGGAAAACAGGTGGTGTAAGGCAAGAGTTCGGTAGTAGCGAGTATATTAGCGTCTCACGAAGAGCGGGGGGGGGGGGGGGCAATTCCAGGAGCCGATGGTTGACAAGGTTGGGTGACGGCTTGTTAGGAACCGTAAGCTAACATGTATGTGGGGTAATATTTCGTAAATAGTGCGATTCTGTAGTCTGTACCTGCCCACAACTTTTTCATAAAATTTGGAGACAAAAACGCCGCAAGTAGTCTGAACAATTCGCAAAATTTGCAGCCTTTAAGTAGATTGTTGTGTTTAAAACGACAATTAATTTACAATGTATCTTACGTTATGTCTTGCGCTGATTTTGCTGACAATTCAGGATGTATAAACATTAAACAAGTGTATATTCAATATGATAACTTTGTAACTTTACAACAAGATTTCTATTATTAGATGTGTATAATAGACGACTAAAGTGATTCGATTTCAATCTGTTGAGAAATTGTGATCCAGTTCAAGGACAAAAGAAAATCGCGATCATTTCGGCAAAAAATCGGCGCCACGACAAGCCAAACTTGGCAAAATCGCGGCAAATTCGCAGAAATTTCCTCATCTTTGCCTTTGTTTATAAGAGGGCCTCTATGTATCGTCTTCTGAATGTTTGCAGTTTTCCAGACATTGATTGGGGTGTCTAGTAGTTAACTTTATGTCTAGTGGTAAACTTATGTCTAGTGGTCTAAGTTTTTATGTCTAAGTTTTAGGGAAGTTGAGAAGTTTTCGGCTAACAATGTTACGTCAGCAGACGAGTGGGTTAAGAAATGCTTGTGAAAGTGGATTCCGGGAAACCAATTTTTCCACGGTTCATGCTACCCTGATCATTATGAGCCTAACATATACCGTACCTAATAGTAGTACCTACCTCTCGATATACGGTTTTGGAATTTTTTCCTGAAACCACTTTTGTTCATGTTTCATGCTACTCTGATCATTATGAGCGAAAATATATTTTCGCACCTACCCCTCGATATTAATTCTACTTTCCATAAATGTTTCTAATTAATTTCTAGTTTTACCTCATGTTAAACATTTGACCCTAACCATAGTTATGGGTATATCGATCTTATCTCATTGTACACAGCGATACCTAGTTGAAGTACACAAATCTGATAGAACGAATAACGGCCGATGCGATGGTGCACAAAAAACTGCGGTACTAGAGTATTAGGTCAATAGTGCGATTCCGCACCCACCGCACTTATATAGGTTGCCTCTGTTTGGGACCCACTGCATGATGACCTTACTACAGCTGCCTCAAGATCTGATCTGGGGTACTAATAGTAAAGTATTATACATGGGGGCCGGGGGGAGCGGGGGGGGGGGTTTAGCTGGGGCTAGAAGTCAGTACACATACGTTGGCTCTTATTATATAAGCTATTATAATCAGTGATAATAACAATTCATATCAGAAAGAATTATTTCGATCGGGCCTTCAGTGACTGAGAAAGAAGCCCCAACGCGAACGTAACATGCCAAAACCTCAAGGTCGAACGTTCGACCAAGAAGTAGGCCAGGAGATCTGATCTGGTGTTCTCCAGTGAAAAATAATTCACATAATATTGCTTAAGTGGATTATTTAATGTGTATTGTGTAATGGCTAACGGAGGGGGGGGGGGGGGGGGGCTTACGTAATATTATGTGAACGATCCCTCATGAGTATTCAGTTATTACAGTGCTCAGTTTTTACGATGCTCAGTCTAAAACTGACTCCGATAAGGATCTTTTGTTTTCTGATTTTTACGCGAATCGTTACTGTTTGTGTTGAACTTGATATTTACCAAACTTGCAATAACTCGCAATAAATATATACGAATGCGTTCAAAG